TTATGCTCTGATAAATTTGTTAGTCTCTAAGGTGCCACAAGTACTCCTGTTCTTCTTTTTGCAGATATATACTGTGATGCTGGCAGACCAGGCTATAGGCCTGAGCCGAGCACTTACAAATTCATTGCTGGAAACCAGTTTCTTTCACTTATGTGTTAGTATGGTTAAGATGGGTATTGGATTTATAACAATGTGTTTACACTTTATGAAATGGTTGTAAATTGCTGCCTGCATTAATCTCAAATTATATTTTTATCACCTGCTGTAAGGTAATATTTAAGTTTTTGCTTCCTAACTGTAAAAAAAGGTGTGCTCTGAAACTGTGAACCCAGTCAGGAGGGATTCTCCTGCCCATCAAGAAGGCCGATCAAAACTAAGTGGGCCATTGTGGGCCATTGCAATACAAAGACTTTGTTAATTGCCCCTTATACTCATGAAGAGGCTATATGCAAAAGGATTCATCCCATCACCTTGAACTGTGGAAGAAGGAAATAAAAATAGCTGGCAATCTTTTGTTGTTTGGACTCTCACAGGAGCTATGAAACAGAACCAGAGAGCCCCAGGATCAGCCTTGGTTAGCCCTAAAAGACATTCAGCACTGACAAATTACTACAACTCTGTCACCTTTTGGAACCATAGACTTTTACTCATGTGTGTATATATGCTTGCTTGAACCTAATAATAACTCATTTCTTTTCTTAGTTAATAAATCTTATGCTCAAATAAATTTGTTAGTCTCTAAGGTGCTTCAGATACTCCTCGTTCTTTTTGCTGATACAGACTAACATGGCTACTGCTCTGAAATCTTAGATAATTTACTACAGGATTGGCTACAAGTGTTGTCTTTGGTATGAGAACGAAGGTACAAATTGACCTGGAGTATGTGACTGGTCTCTTGGGATTGGGAGCAACCTGAATATTTTGTCATCTTTGGTGTATAGCAACGATCACTAAATCCAGCTTGCCTGGGTGACAATATAGACTGGAATGTCCAAGGGGACTGTCTGTGACTCCATGGTTAGACTGTTATAGTGTTTTAGGAGTTCACACTTGTTACTGGGTTGGTGAAATCTAATTATAGAACATACAGCCAGTTTGGGATCTCTGCCCTGCTTCTTGGCAGTCTGTCCTGAGGTTGGCACTCATGGCTGTGAGCCACTCCAGACAGCATGACACATACGATCAATATTATGAATATTTTTCCACCTGGTGGCAACATTCTGCTTACGCATACTTCTCAAAACTCACAAGTAGGCTATTAAAGCAAAGGTTTGTGTGACTCAAACCTGTTTATTCTTTCAATGCGTTTAATGGTCAAAAAGTTGACAGCATGAAACGTTTAACTTCTCTTTCTGATGACACAGAAAAGCAGCAATGCAAATTACCCCAAAGTACCTCACTGAAATGTCTCGACCCTGACTTGCAGCAACCACCTGTAAGCGTGTCCATGCCGAGGTCCGTCTACCAAGTCTGAAAAAGGATACCGGTTAGATAATATAATGTGGATGCATCTACTGTGAACTAGACTGAGAGCGGCAACTGATTGAAGATGGGATGCTGACAATGTCTGTAGGTCACTAGTGAGCTGGGCTGGCCAGCCTCAAAGCAGCAGCCTAAAGACACTATCTCCCATTATTAATCCTCTGAACAAGTCTCCCAATAATTTTCATTTGCTGATGTTAGTGACGGTGCCATTGACAAGTATAAATACAACACATATTTGGAAAAGACCGTTTTACATAAATATCAATATTGTTCCTTTTCCCCGCGACTTTTGGTACGGTAAATTTGGGATGTTGGGGTGTGGGAGTGTATATGTGTGCGCGCGGGGGGGGGGGGGGGGGGAGGAGGGGGTTGGTGGAAAATAGAGATAAAGCACCTGATCACATAAGAAAAGTTACACGATGCTGCCTATTCTTGGTTAGACCCTTTCTGGCATGGTACTATGAATCAACAGACACTTTTACTTCCACACTTACATAGATCCACTATGAAAGAAATCCCAGGGCTCTGTTTCATCTCACTTGCCTTACAATATTTATATGCTGCCACTTGGACAGAGAATAGAGGTGATGGATTAACTACTAATAAATCAGATGGCAAAGAACACAAAATACCATCAATCTAAAGAGGAAGCATTAAGAATTCTGATACATAACAGCCTTTTCCTGTTTTTCAATAAAAGTGTTTCTCTTTCCCAATGGTGACTATCTTTCCCCTGTGCCCTGCACCTTAAGGACACCCTGGATGGCAATGGCTTAAGTTACATCATATTGAAAAATGCATTTATGGTTTGCTAGAAACAAAGATTAATAATATTCTTCAATTTGGAGAGAGGGCACAAGGTTCTACCAGTATCTTTTTACTAAGACTGTTGAAGTGGGAGTTCTTGCAGTCCTTAGTTTCTTGCTACAAGCCTAGAAATCCCAGAAATAAAACAGCAACAAAAATGTAGTACTTTTGGTCCAGTCACATCCTCCTTTGACAGCATTCCCACTTCCCTGACATCTATTTTCTGATGGCAGGATGCAGACATCTACAACTTCCACAAGGAATCTAGGCGTCAGTACATCCCTCATTATAATTTGCAAACCATCTGGCAACTATTACTGAATTAGCATACCATAATAATTATAACAATTTTTAGAATGTTATAATTCTGTTCTGATGAACCCCCCAAAATTAAGGAAGTTAAAAAATAAATAGGAAATATGGGCGATGATTTGATTCCTGATTCCAAAAAAGGATGAGACCATCACTCTGCGTTCGTGCCTTGTTGACTAACCTTGTGATCTTATTGTCATGACCACCCCTCCAAAAACCCAATGTACCTTTTGTGAATTTCAGCACAGGAAAAAAATAACATTGTGTTCTCTACTACAGTTTAGTAGCTGAATACAAAACATGACATTGAGCAGGCTGGCTCACTGGTCTGTACCTAAATCATGTGATCAGTTGTGCAATTGTTTAAAAAAGGCAGGGTGACGTTAGCATGGAAAGAAGTTCAGACAACGACTGGGAAATAAATAAATTACTAAAAAAAATTCTAAAAACAATCAAAAGTTCCTGGCTTGTAATAACCTTGTATTTTGTATGATTACTTTAAAAAAATAGGAGTAGAGATCTATTTCCTTTGAGTTAGCAGCCCCTGCAATGAGTAATTTTAGTGCCACAAACGTGAATAAAGGAAGTAAGGCCATAGCCAAAAAGTATCTATAATACAATAACAGAAGCAGTACTCAAGGTAGATTTAGTGGCACTGCCATACAAAAACCAACCAACAACCCACCCCAAGGGGTTTTGCCAGGTGTGTGGCCTGTGACTAAAGAAAATGAAGCAAATCTCTCACACACTCTATACTGTAATTACTTATGCTCCTAGTCTCTGGGCACCTCACCCCGTTGGGAACTCAATACTGCCATTATCATGCCGCACACAATTACACTTTCAGCAAAGAATCATCATCAATTTGCCGTCTTGTCACACACTATGGCTCTCTCAGGGTACAAGTCGTGTATGATCACATTCTTTACTCTTCTAAAGCCATGTCTTCACTACAAAATTATGTCGACAACTTACATCATCATACAGCCACCACAGTTATTAAACCGCTTGTTTGTGTACACAGTTGGCTCCTTATGTCAGCACTGCGCATTCTCTCCAGGAGCACTTGTATCCATTGTATTGTCAGTGTGGGGCACTGTGGGATGGCTCCTGAAAGCCAGTAACAGTCAATGTCAATAACACAGTGTCTACATTGATACTGCATCAACCTAATTACATCGACCATGACTCTACTAAATCAGTGTAGAGAGGCACTTACATCGGCGGGAGCCAAATTTAAGTGAAGACACTTCCACAGCTGGATTGACACAAGGCAGCTTATGTTAACCTAACTATGTCGTGTAGCCCAGGCTTACATGTCTCAGCCCTAGTGCATTAATTAACTCTTCACTGGAGGCAGACAGACTGCATCACCACATACCATTCTCAATACGAGTCCTGGCAGCAGCCTGCAGAACCCCACATACCAACCTCAACCATTTAAAGCTGGTTGAACTAGAGGCAGCTATGGGCTCGGACTTCTCTGCCACTGCATTTGCCCTGGCATAGTAGATTATGCAGCACCATTATCATGTTGAATCCAGAGACAAAGAATCCAGTGTCATGGCATGACTCCACCTCTTCCCGTCTCCTCACATCTATGAGAAGGAGCGCAGTTTCATTAGCCACGTGAGCTTACATTTATAATAGCACAGAAATTAGAAATGGAAGAGACCAAGTAGGTCAAGTTACCTGTTCTTCCTAAGAGAGCAGGATTGTTCCATTCAGGATACTAGAGAGGCATTACTTATGGCTCCATAGATAAGACCGAGTTGAGTTTTGCACTTAAAAGCAAGGATTCAGCCTCTTTGTCTCGTGCGACGAATAAACTGTATCCTCCCCTCAATTACATT